CACGCAGTCGAAGGCGAAGACGACAAAGGCGACGGCGACCAGGGCTCCTTCTTGACCTTAGTTGCACTTCTCATCGGAACTTACTCAGTATGTGTTCTTCATTCGGTCGGCGTGGATTCGAATGCAACTTCGGCACTTTCCGCATCGGTGTCTTCTCCATGACATCCTGTTTGCAGCACTTCTCAGGACTGTGTGGAAGGAACTGCTTGGATGCCTTGCTTGCGACCAGGGCACTGGCTCCATCTTGACAGTTTGCTTGCCAGTCTTACGTGTTGGTGTGGCCTTCACGCAATGACAGTCACAATCAGAATCAAGCACTGTGATGACGTGATTGTTTCCACCAGGGCACTCGGACCATCTCGACGAAAGCAGCTGGATTCTACCCCTTTGGACACTGAGGACACACAGGGTCCTTCACTCGATCCAGAAAAAAAGCTGCGACAGGCAATACGTTGTAATTCGTGTCATGATGCCTCCGAGTTGGGTTCACTGAATCATTGAAGGTCCCATGAGGCTCTGGCCACCGGTAGTACACGGAAGAGCCCATCAGCTCTGGATCACTCCCGCCTGCAAGGACGTCGCATGCAGTAGCATCAGCAGAAGAATGTGTTTTTCAATTCAAGTCTGAAACTGGCATGATTCAACGACGCAACCTTCAATGTTGATTGGAACCTTAAAGTAGCCCGCATGCATGAATGAACCCCATCACAGCAAGCTCTTCGAAGAAGTTCCAGCTGAGACTGCCAATTAAGTCTTGTTATGCAGGAATCCGTGGATACTCAAGCTTTTCAGGCCTCAAAAACGGTTTTGGGGAATCCGGTTGCATGTTCTCGGATGTGATTCTAGAACCTCTGCCTCGGACCTGTTTCGTCACAGTAACCAAGCTTCGAGGGAGCATAAACTGCTGTGCCTGTGTCGGTAATAAAGCCTTGCAGGCCGGGGCACGCCGATTCAATCTTCTGCAAATTCGTTTCGAACTTAAGCTGGACAATGCCACTTTGCGGTTTTAAAGCCTGAATACCTGTTTCCGGCATCGTGGAGCACGGTTGAATTTCAAGTGTGGGCTGAAGGCAGAAACCTACCACGGGCGCCGGAGTCTCTGAAGAATCGAGATTATGAGGCTAGAGCCTGTCAATCGCACCACTGAAGCACCACATGTGAGTTATCAAGCAATCCGACTCAGGAATTCCAGGTGGCCTTCCCCGTGGTCTTTGCAAACACCAGTGTAAAACTCTCACCTCCACTCGGCCAGGGTGGAACCACCATGCCTGGAGGGTGTGCACTTGCCGGCTGCAGGGCTGTCCCACGTGTGCCTCCCAAAGGCCCCCGGGCAGCTCACCTGTAACAGCCCCAACGACACCGGCCAAAGCAACGTCCCTGTTGCCTTGGACCCTGTCGTCGCAGTACCGCTTTGGACCCCAGCGGTCTGCTTGGCGTGTGCAGTGACTCCCCAAGCCGCAGGCCAGTGGCACTGCAGTGATGAATGGTGGGGGGTGGGTGAGAAAGCATCACAAGCTGCTGTTTTCGGCATCCAGAAGCATCTCGGGTTTGATCCTGGAAAATGCGGGAACCGACTGAGGCATTTTTTGACACCTCTGTGGGCGATTCAATAGCTGTGTCTGTTTCCAACAAGAAGCCAACTTTGAAGCTAGAGGATGCCAATTCAAGCTTTTTAAGGCCCGAAAAGCTGTTTTCGGCTTGCGGCAGCACGTTTTCCCTTTGATTCGGCAAATGCAGCCTAGAACCCATGACCCATGTAGCCCAAATAGTGCGGTACCCATGTTTCGGGTTTGATTCTTGCAAATGCAGTCGCAGCCTTAGAACCACGTAGCCATGTCCAGACAAGTCAATAGCTGTGTCTGTTAAAACAATGAACCTGAAGCCAGAGAACGCCAATTCAAGCTTTTCAAGGCCTGAAAAGCTGTTTTCGGCTTCCGGCGGCACGTTTTCCTTTTGATTCGGCAAATGCAGCCTAGAAACTATGTAGCCTTTTCGAGGCAACGGAGGCCAGGTCGGAAGCTCTGTGTGTTTCCAAGAAGAATCCAGCTTCTTGAAGCTGGAGAACGCCAATTCAAGCTTTTCAAGGCCTGAAAAGCTGTTTTCGGCTTGCGGCAGCACGTTTTCCCTTTGATTCGGCAAATGCAGCCTAGAACCCATGACCCATGTAGCCCAAATAGTGCGGTACCCATGTTTCGGGTTTGATTCTTGCAAATGCAGTCGCAGCCTTAGAACCACGTAGCCATGTCCAGACAAGTCAATAGCTGTGTCTGTTAAAACAATGAACCTGAAGCCAGAGAATGCCGATTCAAGCTTTTCAAGGCCTGAAAAGCTGTTTTCGGAAACCTGTGGCAAGTTTTCGGTTTGATTCGGCAAATCCAGCCTAGAACCCATGTAGCCTCTTCCAGACAGTTCTGCGGGCAAGTCAATAGCTGTGTCTGTTTCCAAAAGCAATCAAGCTAAAGCTAGAGAATACCGATTCAAGCTTTTGAAGGCCTGAAAAGCTGTTTTCGGCATTCCAGCAGCATGTTTTCGATTAGATTCGGCAAATGCAACCTAGAACCCATGTAGCCTTTTCAAGACAACTGCGGCCAGGTGGAAAGCTGTGTGTATTTGTGTGTTTCCAAGAAGAATCCAGCTTCTTGAAGCTGGAGAACGCCAATTCAAGCTTTTCACGGCCTGAAAAGCTGTTTTCGGCTTCCAAAAGCATGTTTCCGGGGGTGATTCGGCGACTGCAGCCTGGAATCCGTCATTTCCAGAAACCTCTGTGGACAGGTCGAAAGCTGTCTGTGTTTCCAACCTGAAGGAAACTATTTTGGAAGCTGGAGACTGCTGATTCGAGGTTTTCAAGGCCGGAAAAGCTGTTTTCGGCATTTGGGGGTTCCGAGAAAAGAAAACACAGCCTGTAAGCCATATCCAATAACTTATCGGGGAAATCAAAGGCTTTGTCGAAGACCAAGGCGAAAAAAATTTCAGGCTGGAGAATGCCGACGCAAGCTTTGGAACGACCTGCACAAAAATCGCCAATGTTTCGGCTTGGATTCTAGCACTTACAGCCTGCACGCCATGTCCTTAATCGAACAATCACAGTCACAAGACAAAGGGACAACGGGCCTCCCCATCGCCAGCCAACTCATCCCGGACATTTTGCCAAGACCACACCCGACAAGTCGAGGATTTTGCAGGGGGGGCTCCTTTCCACTGGGTAAGCATAGTTCCGCTGGCTCGCATTCATGTGGCAATCAGCAAGTCATGCCAAGCAAGTCATGCCACAACACAAGACAAGCGGCAAAGGGAACACAACGCAATCTCAAGCGAGTCAATCGATCACAAGAGGCCTCCCATGTAATATGGACAGATGCGGGTCTCGCCCCACCGCCACATCCACTCCCTGTACTCCATGGTGTCCTTCCCAGAGCCCAGCAGGCACATTGGCACATTGCCCTGCTGTCGTCTGCTTCCCAAGGCTGGAGCATGTTGGCCAAAAGCTCTGTCAGACACAACATGGTTCCAAGAGTGTGAGCTCCAAACCCGGCCAACGGTTTGAAGGCAAGCCCGATGTTTTTTTGGGTTGCCTTGCAGGCTTGCCTCTTGGTAGAGCCAAAACTGAAACGAAGAACAAGCCAAAAACGACCGCACAAGACGCCATGCTGTGTCGAAACGAAGGTTACCCGGTTACCCATGACTGAAGCGAGCGAAAAGACGACGGACCCAAACGGCAGGCCCAAGGCGAAGATATGAAGAGTGCTCCAAGGACGACAACCCCCTGCACCGACCGAGATGCCGAGACTGTAGTACAAAGCATGAAAATCAAAGGTTTCGTGGCATACTACAAGGATTATCCTCTGCACTGCATGTCTGCTGGAGAGGAAGGCAAAACAAGCGCCTCGTCTGTCCAGCCAACTTCGAAGACGAAGGTGAGAGGGGCGACCTGTCCCATCAGACCCAGAGGGACGGACGTGCACCGAACTGCATGCTCAGTGAGGAACCGGCCGCTGCTTGTAGTAACAGACCTGGCAGTCAGGAGATTCAGAAGATAAGCTTACGTGTGCAGCGGCAGGAATCCAGGAATGGCATGCTGAGTCACGAACCATCTTCTGACCCCATGGGTCTGATGAAGCCTGGCGCAAACAGAAGATAATCACTGGACACCGATCAACTCTTCAAGAGCACTGTTAACATGTCTCGGCACGAGCACTCCTTTTTGAATTGCATGGTGCTGAGCTGGTCACGTCGGGTGAAGAAAAATGCCAGCCAGCACGGGGCACTGGGCACCGAAGACGAAGAAGAAGGCAGCCAACACGGGGCAGTGGACACCGAAGACGAAGAAGAAAGAAGCGAAGACGAAGAAGAAGGCGGCCAACTAGTCCTTGCCCTTCTCTTTGCCCTTCGTGCCCTTCTCGTCTTTGCCCTTCGTGCCCTTCTCGTCTTTGCCCTTCGTGCCCCCTTTCTCGCCTTTGCCCTTTGATGCGCCCTTCTCGTCTTTGCCCTTCGTGCCCCCTTTCTCGTCTTTGCCCTTGCCGTCTTTGCCCTTCCCTTTATCGTCTTTGCCCTTGCCCTTATCGTCTTTGCCCTTGCCCATATCATCTTTGCCCTTGCCCTTCTGGTCGCCCTTGCCCTGGTCCACGCCCTGGCCGCCCACAAACTTTGGCAATGGGCGATACGAAGTCGGCGGCCCCCGAAGGCCAGAAAGCGCAGATGCTTGACCAGTCTCAGTTGAGACAGACAAGAAGCGGTTACAAGGGCAAGTACTAACTGAAGCAACTCGAAAATTTTGGACGGGTGACAAAACTTACGAACGAAACCAAGCAACCGAAGTGTTGTGCTGGACATACTGGGCGTACATGGCAAGCTCGGGGTTGTGCAGGCTGTAGAGCGTTTCCCACTGTCGCAGCTGGGTGATTCTGTAGTCCAGCACCTGGAGTTGCGGTTCAAGTTCAATGTTGAAAAATTAAGTAAGGTGGTTCAGTAAGTTTTTTTTAAATAAACAAAGAGACTAATCTTTACCCCGCCCCGCCTGGATGGCGTCCCGCGCCTCGCCAGGCGTCTTGGGCCGGACAGGGTCCCCCACGCACTGCTGGATGGAGTGTGGGTCGCCTCCGTGCCTTCTCGCAGTGGCGTAGCCGTCGGAGTCGAGCATCCAGCAAACCCGAGTCTTCAAGGACAAAAGCGCCTGGAAGCGACTTGTCCTTGTCTGACTTCTGAACCCCTCCAAAAAGTTAAACTTTTAGCCCCCTTATTATGGTTCATATAGAAACCCAAAAAGTTAAAGTCCTAAGAGCCAACCAGAAGTACGCCAAGTGTCCACTCGGCGAAGACGTCTCCCGAAGACGAAGACGAAGGCACAGGCGCAGGTGGCGGAGGCTTGAAGGTCAAGTGCTGGATGCCTGAACAGAATTAAACTCTGGACCATTTGATCCTTTATTCTTGGTATAACTGCAATTTTATATTCATTCGTTATACTAAGTATCATTGACATGTTTGTATTTGACTTTGTTGGAGTTGAATCTTTGAAGCCGAATCTGATGTCGCTCCTGCAAGCGGATCCGGCGAAGGCGAAGGCGGTGGCGAAGCCGCAGGCATCTTGGGCACAGGCTCCTCTGGGAAAGCAGCTGCCGGCTTCGGAGGAGGTGCAGCTGCCGGCTTGGGAGGAGGAGCTGCCCCAACTGGTGGCTGGCCTCGGATGTGCAGCAAAAATAGTTTGCTTTCATAATGACCTTGATTAATTATCGCATGATGTCATATTCTACTGTTCACACCGATCTGAATCTACTTAAGTGCCAAGGCTCTCTTAGTCTTTGCAGCATTCTGCGCCGCCCACCTGTCTCTCTTCCGGCTGGTGTTGGAGAGCGGATCTCTTGCAGTCCCCCCACCCGTCTTCGGCGAGGGCTTGGCCGCAGCAGCAGCCTTTGGCTCCGAAGGCGAAGACGAAGACGAGGGATTGGCCGCAGCAGCAGCCTTTGGCTCCGAAGGCGAAGACGAAGACGAGGGATTGGCCGCAGCAGCAGCCTTTGGCTCCGAAGCCGACGACGGCGAAGCCGTGGGAATGGCCGCAGCGGCCTTTGGCTCCTCAGGCG